CGCTGGATCACAGTGGTTTTCTGTGATGGACCTCAAGTCAGGTTACTATCAAATAGAGATGTGTGAAAAGGATAAACCTAAAACTGCTTTTGTTTGCCCGTTTGGGTTTTATGAATTTAACCGTATGCCACAAGGAATAACAAATGCTCCAAGCACTTTCCAACGGGTTATGGAAAAGTGTATGAAGGACATTAATCTGAAGGAAGTGTTAGTTTTCCTAGACGACTTGATCGTCTTTTCCAACTCCTTGGAAGAACACGAAACCAGACTTTCTCACGTTCTTGAACGGCTTAGAGAATACGGACTCAAGCTATCACCAGATAAGTGTCGTTTTTTCCAGACATCTGTGCGTTATCTTGGACATATAGTATCTCGAGATGGCATAAAAACCGATCCAGATAAGGTGGAAGCACTCAAAACATGGCCGAAGCCTCAGACTTTGAAGGAACTCCAATCTTTCTTAGGATTTACCGGTTATTACCGACGCTTCGTTAAAGATTACTCAAATATTGTCAAGCCACTAACATCTCTCACGGCTGGTTATCCACCCAAACGGAAAAACTTTAAAACACCACCATGTAGATCAAAGTACTTGAACCCCAAAGAACCCTTTGGGAATCGTTGGAGCCAAGACTGTGAGAAGTCCTTTCAAACTATTATTGAAAAACTTACCACTTCGCCAGTTCTTGGCTACGCTGACGCAAAACTCCCATATCTAGTACACACAGATGCTAGTACGACCGGACTCGGTGCAGCGCTATACCAAGTGCAAAACGGTGTCACACAGGTAATCGCTTATGCAAGTCGCGGTTTAAGCTCTAGTGAAACTAGGTACCCTGCGCACAAGTTGGAGTTTCTAGCCTTAAAGTGGGCCATAACAGATAAGTTTCATGACTATTTGTATGGGAACACATTCACTGTCATTACTGATAATAATCCGTTAACTTACCTCTTAACAACGGCAAAACTCGATGCAACGAGCTATCGTTGGCTAGCTGCGTTGTCCACCTATAATTTTGACATCAGATACCGTGCAGGTACACAGAACGTTGACGCGGATGGCCTGTCTAGAAGGCTGCATGATAAACCTGAAGACAACTCAAAATTCACTGAGGAATGCCAACGACTAGATGAGTTCCGATCTCATCTTTTATCCTCTGTCAAAGAAGTCGAGCTTCAACTTCAAGCCGAAGCAGTGAAGGCAACATGCCAAAAGCACATGGTCTTGGATGAGACTGATTCTCCTTGTGGTTTAGTTCAGTCACTTGCCATGTCTGCAGCGGCCATTCCAGACCTATTCCAGTTGGAAGACAATAGTGACAGTTTCTTTGCTGTGCCCAAGTATAACCATGCTGACCTTGTCTCCTTGCAGAGGAAAGATCCAACCATTGGCCGAGTCATTCAGCTGCTTATGACTGACAATAAACCGCCAACTGATACTATTGCAGAACCCCCGGTGGTTCTTAACCTTTTGAGAGAGTGGAAACGGTTTGAGTTTCAAAATGATTTACTGTACCGGAGACGCCAATTAGGACCAGAGACATCATTGCAGTTAGTCTTGCCTGATTCATTACGTTCAACAGTCATGCAAAGCCTACATGATGATATGGGGCATCTTGGGGTTGAACGTACGACAGATCTCATTCGGTCCCGTTTTTACTGGCCAAGAATGGCTAGTGATATCGAAATCAAAGTTAAAACTTGCGAAAGATGTATCCGTCGGAAGGCCCTCCCTGACAAAGCTGCTCCAATGGTGAGTATTACCACCACCAGACCTATGGAGTTAGTTTGCATGGATTTTCTCTCCATAGAACCAGACAGTCAGAACACTAAAGATGTCTTAGTGATTACAGACCATTTTACAAAGTATGCAGTGTCCATCCCAACCAAAGATCAGAAAGCCACCACCGTCGCGAAGAACCTGTGGGAACATTTTTTAGTCCACTACGGGTTTCCTGAGCGTCTTCATAGTGATCAGGGACGGGATTTCGAATCACGTACAATCAAGGAACTTTGTTCTTTACTTGGTATCCGTAAAGTCAGAACGAGCCCTTATCACCCTCGTGGCAACCCCGTTGAACGGTACAATCGTACATTACTCAGCATGTTGGGAACTTTACAAGCCACTGAGAAACATCACTGGCGCGATTTTGTAAAACCACTTACTCACTCGTACAATTGTACAAAAAATGACGTGACGGGATACTCTCCCTACGAGCTAATGTTCGGTAGGCAGCCTCGGTTGCCTATAGATATTGCCTTTGGGTTACCGCATTTGAACAAGCCCTCTATAACTCATTCTCAGTATGTTAAAGAACTGAAGAGTCATCTGGAACAGAGTTATGACATTGTCATAAAAAACTCTCAAAAAACAGCGAGGAAGAACAAAGAACGGTTCGACAGAAACATTCGTGAGTCCACACTAGGTGTGGGAGATCGTGTTTTAGTCCGAAATCTTCGCTTAAGAGAAAAGCATAAATTAGCAGACAAATGGGAGCAAACAGTGTATATAGTTCTCAAACAGATGGAAAACTTGCCAGTATACACTGTAAAACCAGAGAACGGAGAAGGACCCAACAGAACACTCCACAGAGATCTTTTACTGCCTTGTGGTTTTCTCTCTTCATTAGAAAATGAAACAGAACGCGTTACGAAACCTAGCAGACCTCATACAAGACAGAGTTCAGCCTTAGAACCTGACCCAGATGAGCCACTTGACGAAGAGGTAGATGAGTTTTATTACTCTGATCTTCCACAAGTGCTAAACCGACCATCCTATCAAATAGCGGTCACCTTGCCAAATAGGGAACTCATAGCAGATTCAGGACCGGTAAATAATATTCAACAACAAAACACACTATCCTTACACACAGGGGATCGCAAGGAACCAACCTTAGCTGGTAATGAAAATGCTGAATTGTCCTTACTTGACAAAGGCATCAACACCGAAACATTCTTACCTGACAGAATGAGTGAAACTGCGACATTCTTACCTGAAAGAGTGAAAGAAGCAGCAACATACTTACCTGAAAAAACGAAAAAAAACGAAGTATACTTACCTGACGTAGAAACGGGGGATGAAACTAACACAAACCTACCTCAATTGGATGGTGTCCTAAAGTCGCAGCAACGTGATGTAAGTTTTGAACCCATCATACACGATCAGACACATACATCTGAAAAGACCAAAGTCTTAGAGAATAGCTCATCAGCTCTGTCGGAAACAGAGAGCTCACTTCGTCCTGTCTCAGTTGAGAATCAAACCGAAACGGATGAGCATGATACTGTGCAACCAGAGATGTATGTCAGGAGATCTGAACGAAGTAGTCAGCCTCCTCAAAGACTAACTTACTCTCAATTGGGCAATCCACTAGTGACCGTAGTTAGGTCCCTTTTCCAAGGACTTAATAAAGCTTTTATTGACTCTCTTACTCAAGAAGTTGTGTACCCCGTAGAAACAATGCACAGGGACGTGCATGATATTTAATGGGGGAGGATGTAACCCAGAAGCTAGAACCTTAATGAGGTATTAACTAATTGGCTTACTAATATGATCCATCCTCAATTTAGATAAAATATAAATTAAGGAAATTAACAATACTAATTAATAGATATCTAATTAACTAATAGATAATTTCATAATGAATTATTGGAAGGGTGAATAACTAAAATAACGAGTTTAATATTAAACATCGGTTAAAACAAGAATCTTGAACATCCCTAACAGAAACAGAAGAGGAAAGCTGTATACTATTGGTCCAGGTGGGAATCTGAAATTTCATTGGCTGAGAGAAATAAGTCCCGCCTCCGCGAAATAAAACCGTGCGACGCAGCTGAGCGAGAGGAGAGACAAACGGCTGTGCAGCACGCAGATACAGAAAGCAAAGACTGAGCGGTTAGAGAGAGAGAGAGAGAGAAAAAAAAACAACGGTCGAGGCCGTGAAGAACCCTGATTTGGGTGCCGCATAGATAGAGGGAGAGGCGGACTTGACTCCTTCTAATAAGAGCTAGGAACTTGGAACCAACGCGATTTGTGTGGAGACGACAGAGTGAACCAATCCTCTGTAGGAGGGAACCGTTGGAGCGCGTTGGCTGGGTTTTTTTTTTTTCCTTGGGTTTGATCCCGACTCCTATGATCACTCACTTGGAACGAGAACTGGATTTCTTCCTGACGAGGGAGATGGCGAGCCTTAACCACTGAACGAACCAGGACATCTCAAGTAACTGAAGAGCAGACTGCTCTCTTCTGTGAACAATCTCAACGGTGTGGTAGGAAAAAATCGCACCACCGGACTCTGACTTTCACCCCAAGCGTGGGGATTTGACTTGACGCCGGCTGACTTGTGACTCATATGACCAAATCTCATCCCGACCATTTTACTATTGTCGATTGTTTTCATCTGTTTTTGTGTGTTATCTTTATGTGTTATATTTCCCATTATTATTAAAATTTAGTATATAAACCGTTTCATGCTATACCTGTGACTCCAGTCATTCTTAAACAACCTCCAATTCTCCCCGAACCTAATTATTGGCCCATTTGTTTATTTTTTCTTTTAATTATCTTATTGTATCCTGTAATCCGGTTACATTATTTTATTCTGTTTAAATAAAGAGGGGAAGTAAACGCCCTCTGCTGTCTCTGCGTCTTAAACCCACATGAACAATTCTAGGACAGTTTCCTCCTGCAGATTTGTAAACAAAGTCCATTCATGTAACTCATTTTCTTGTGAAACATTATAAATCCCTTTCACTCACACTTGCACACTGCCACCCTGTATTAGGATCAAACATTTGATGTATATGTAACCTCTGTTCATCCTAAACGGTGTTGCACCTCCAGAATCATTTCCTGAGCTTTATGTCTTGCTAACGCGACTACATTAAACTCTAACCCTAATACAGATTTGTTTCCCTTTTGCACTAAAAACCTCTGAAAATGTCAGCTCTTGTAAAAGTTGCTTTCATAAACCCTGACTCTGTGGCATCCTCTTGTCCAGCACTACCTGACCTGCTTCAGCGGAACCATAGCCGTTCCGTTCCTCCTTGCTGAGGCGATGTGCGTCGGCTTTGATCAGTGGGCCACCAGCCAGCTCATCGGGACCATCTTCTTCTGCGTGGGGATCACCACCCTGCTGCAGACCACGCTGGGCTGCAGGTACACACACAGTTAACACCTTAACGGAAACATTGTGTGTGATGTCTGATGAGTTGGAAATTTTGACACTTTAATTTGTTCATGCGAAGATAAAGTTCCTCTGATACTAACTTTCCTCTGTCACACCACACTGAGCTCAGCTGTGTGTGCAAATGAAAACCTCTTCAGGTTCCTGGTTCTGTTCATGTGACAGCATTTGTCCCACAAGGCTGAGACTTCCTCTTCAATGAGAAGAGAAGCAGACTGTCCAAAGGTCCTCAGTTCTTTAGAACTGACGTGACAAACTTTAAAACCAAACTCATTTCCTAGACGTAAACACAAAATGTTTATATGTCGGTAACATTTCACTTATTGCCAAGAGGAGAGATGAAGAACACCTGGAAGTCACACATAGGTTATATCAGAGGTAAAATTGCCAAAGCCATTGCAGTACTACATAAAGTAGTTTTTACTGAATAGTTCTGGATTGCTGACATTGTATAACTCACTAATTGTTCCATACTTGACTTACTGTGTAGAAATATGGGGATCCACATGTAAAACTCATAGACAACCACTGTTTATTCTACAGAAAAGAGCATTGAGAATCATTAACAACAATCGCTATAGAGCTCCGGACGTCACGTGACTCTCAGAGAGTAGACGCCATGTTGGCAGGCAACAAAGGTAAACAAATTGAACGGGATCGGCTTGGATTTTACTCCGTCGGAGTTTACTTCACACTTTAAAACCGAAGAAATCGTTTTATATAGTCAGAAATTAAGTAGACTAAACATCTCCGACCCTTACCGTGCCCCTGGGATACTTTTTAAAAACGCCAGAAGTTGTCGGAGCGGCCAGGGAACGTCTTGGGATTCCCCCGGAGGAGTTGGCCCAAGTGGCTGGGGAGAGGGAAGTCTGGGCCTCTCGACTTAGGCTACTGCCACCACCACCCGGCTCCGTATAAGCGGATGAAAATGGATGGACAAATAACAGATTTACACGTAAGTAGTTTAAATAGAGTGCTGTGCTGTTTGAACGTATAAACTGAACGTCAAGAGAAATCACTAGTTTGATTTTTTTTTTCCATGAATAAAATAAATATGTCTGGCAGGAGCGTCTCAGGATCTGTCTGAGATCTGTCTCGGTGAGACAGATAATAACAATCCAAAGTGCTTTTTATGTGTGATCTGACAAATGATCAACCATTGCTTAAAAATTAAATACAGCTTAGCCGGTTAATTGCTGTGATCATAAAACACGGAAACGGCAGCACGCAGAACTCACGAGGCAACATTTTATGTGATGTTTACTTGTTGCTATGAGTAATAAGACAGAAAAAGCCACGCCAAAATAAGTTTAGGAAGCCCACTAAGAATCGTAATAAAAGCATTTAAAATAAATACCATACACAGTTGAGGAAACGTTGGTTTAAGTACCTGATATGAAGCGGTCGCTGCATAAGCGAAAACCTTTACTCTCGGGATCCCACAGCTTCATTTTCGCCCGGTCACTAGCGCGTTTTATTACAATGATCCAACGTTTGCGGCGCTCCGGATCTTGGGGAATCCTGTAGATGGCTCATCCCTTATGTCGTCCGCGTCTGTTCTGCATCCTGGGGTACAACAGGAATCTACCATATTTCCCGTTTGATTGAGTTTTCTGACAATAACAAATAGCCCAGCTGCCGGCTTCTGCCTGCCAAGATGGCGCCTTTTCGATTTGATCTGTTGCATGCCGGGAGAAGTGACGTCAACTCCCGGAGCTCTATAGAGATCCATCCAATCCGTTATTCATCAAATATAAACTACTGAAATTTTATGATCTAGTGAATATGAAAATATCGCAAACAATGTATAAAGCTAAAACCAATACGTTACCCACCAACATTCAGAACATGTTTGAGAAAAGCGTCGGTAATTATTTCTTAAAAGGAACTGAAGTATTTAAAAAAACGAAATTTAGAACCAGAATGAAGGTGATGACTATCTCTGTAAATGTGTGAGAATATGGAACAACCTTAGCAAACACATGAAAGAATTAAAGTCACTAAATATATAAAAAAAAATGTATCAAATCAGGTGTTTTACAGAACTACAATCACCTAAACTCAGTTGGTGTCCGATTAGGTCCGTAAGTGACAAGAATATAAAATGAATCTGTGTTTCGTTTTGTTTTGTTTTGTTATTGAGAATTGTATGGAAGCAAGTTTGGTTTGTAAATAGGGGCAGATAATATAAGGTATTTCTTCCTTCTGCTGCTTTTCATTCTAATTGTTTGGTGTTCATGTTTATGTATGTTTTTTATGTTGTTTGTATGTGTGTGTGTGTGTATATATATATATATATATATATATATATATATATATATATATATATATATATATACATAAACACTTTGAATGAAACAAAGAAAGAGAAAGAAAGGTGTAACAGAATAAAAACACAGACTTCTGTAAGAAGGAAGACCTACTTTTACAAAAAAAAAATAGTGCTCTCAATGTTAGGAACGGCTCGTTTGACCTACTTCCCACAGTTATGGGTCAAACCTGTATTGCAAAAAAATATTTTTCCGCTTACGTCACCTCACTGCCTTTAAAATTTAACAAAAGTTTCTCCACTTTGTGTTTCTAACTCCAACATTTTAACAGATTTAATCATTAATCCGCAGTTTACCTAATTAAACTCCTGAGTTTTTTTTATGCGTTTTATAAATGCTAAATTTTAAAACTTTCTCTGGGATTTTTTTATATTGTTACACGTAACCTGCAGAGCTTGCTAGATAACGTAAAATAAAACACTGTAGTCTCATTCGGACACCAGATATGACAGGAAGTAAGGTTGCTTTGTCTTCTGCAGCTGCTGTACGGTGTGTTTAATTTGCAGTCTGGTGCAGAATTTCAAGGACATTTTTCCCCAGCGTGTTAAGATTTGCTGTTCATTAGTAATAAAACATGGGCTGCATGGTGGCGCAGTGGTTAGCACTGTTGCCTCGCAGCACGAAGGTTGCAGGTTCGAAGCTCGGCTGCAGCCATTCTGCGTGGAGTTGCGTGTTCTCCCCATGCATGCGTGGGTTTCCTCCGGGTTCTCTGGTTTCCCCCACAGATCACAACACGCCCTATAGGTTATAAACTGTAAGACGCTTTGGATAAAAGTGTCTGCCAAACAAATAAACTTAAAACATGGCTTCCTGCTTAAGGTTGGTGAAGGAAAACGAGCGATGCTGCATTCTTAACACTATTTTCATCAAAACATCTGTCACAACCATAAAGATCTTGACAAATAAAGCAGAGCAAGTCGCTTGCCTTTGTTTGATGTGACTTCACTGTTCTGGCAGATGCACTCGGCAGCAGTAATGAGTCGGAAAGAATCAGTCGTGACTTGATAGAACTATTATGATTCTGTTTTATGTCCGACAAGTGCCTGCATGACCTGGATTTTAATGAAACGCCACCTCTGAGAGGCTGGATAATATCCACGGCAACCGATAACATCTAACGGAAGCCGTTATTTCAGGATGACTATTTAAAGAGCAAGTCACTCCAAATCACCATTTTTTTTGCTGATAAACTATATAAATGAGTGTCTGATCGTACTGTAGACAAATGTAGTCCATAATTCGGCATAATTCCCTCTTTCCTATTCACTCTCTCTCTTTCTTAACATTTTTTCTTTTAAATCGCAATTGCTTATTTTTGCTCATTTAAAATATATTTTTAAACATTTTCTAAATGCTTTTTTATATTTTTACATTTTTTTATTTTTTGTTTTTGTGAAGCGCCTCGTGATTTTTATCTTGAGAGGCGCTATAGAAATGATATTTTCTTCTTCTTCTTTAGTGCACCTTAGTTAAAATTAAAATATTCTGCCTAAAACTGTCAGCGATGCACCGTCGTCAGGAAAAACCTCAGCGCTGCATTTGAATTTAAATCTGCCATCACATTGGCTAAGAGGTACACTATGATGTTAGATGGTACATTATGATGTCACAATGTCATGAGTGTGTGTATTTGTTAGAGGCTCCGCCCTCTCGGTCTGCTAGGCAACAGCATTTGTTGCATTTTTCAAACAGGAAGTGGGAGTTGAGTAAGAATCTGGTAGGGGGTGACTTGCTCTTTAAGCGCGCTTACGTTAATTTGTTTTTTAAGTTAATGAAATTTTAATTCTGATAGTTTTTTTATAACTTCAACATTTTATAACACATAAACAAAGAAAATATTGGTAAATATGACCAACTACAGATTGTTTTTTAGTAGCGTCAGAGGGTGTTCTGTGGTCTCTTATTTAGCTTTTCTTGTTTTCCAACACAAACAAGGACAGAATCAGGTGTTAGCTTCAGGATTAGTGACATTCTTTTCACACCAGCATGCCCCCCCCCCCCCCTCTCTCTCTGAGGCAGAGCTGAGAAAGGTTGAGAGTGCAGCTATCTGTCCATCTCTCTGTGGATTAGGGTCTCCAGAGAAATGTCACTGAATGGAAACGACTGAGACAGGAAGAGAAGCGGTGTCAGGGAAACGTCCAGCACGTACTTCTCTGGTTTGATCACTCAGAACAACAAATGAAAGCTTCGTAGACTTCATAAATCTGTTGAATGGGTCAGGATGTTGTGAGAAATATGATTTTTATGATGAATTTATTTTTTCCTTAAAGCCACAAATCCTCATCGAGTAAACTGCTGTGGTCTAAAATAGAAGGGATGGTTTGCAGGACTAAGACTCTCATTACTGAAATGCAACATTTCAACGTGTGAGTTTTTATTTTGTCTGTTGCAGGTTACCTCTGTTCCAGGCGAGCGCGTTTGCCTTTCTGGCACCAGCCAGAGCCATCCTGTCTTTGGACAAATGGAAGTGTAACGGCACAGGTAACTTTACTCCTCTAGCTCCTAAAATTATAGAAACTAATAAAATCTGTTTGTTACCAGCACCAAAATAGCACGTACATAAAGGCCTCCAAATGGGCTTTGATTAGATTTATTTGTAGGGTTTAATTTTTTAATATTGAATGACATTTCCTTGTATTTTAACTCAACCAGAGCATCCACTGCTGAACGGGACCGAGCTCCTTCATACAGAGCACATCTGGCACCCCAGGATACGAGAGGTGAGACAGAAAGTCATGTGGATTTATTAGATAACATGTTATTGAAATTGAAAGGTTAAATAACTCCTTATGCAATGGTTTACACAACTCTTAGTGAATGTTTTTGATAACCTAAACTCTGGACAGTTGCACTTTTAGGTAATTTTTTGTGCCGATGAGGATTCCTTTGTGTCTAAATTTAGTGCTGTGAAAACTCAACGCGTTAATTTAGTTAATTAATGTGAAATGTTTAATGCATTAAAAAAATTAACGTAATTAATGCAGCTTTTAAAATTTTACGTAATCCGACACCTCGAACTCGTGAGCGGCTCTGAAGGAGGGGGCAACATTGCGCTATGCTGGTATCTGACCTGCTGGAAACGTTTAGAAGCAGCAGCAGAAAAAGAGAAGGAGAGGAAAAGCTTGCTAGCATGGACGATGCTGTCCATGGAGCGCTGTCTAGATCGGTACAAAGCAGAGCCCAAAATGGGTATTGGACACAGTCCATTACAGTGGTGGTTGAAGAGAGAAGAAGCACATTCCAGGCTGGCACCTGTTGCATGCAAGTACCTGTCGACCCCTGCAACCAGGGGGGCTGCCAGAGATTTTCATAGGGAGCTCTGAATAAATATACATTTCATAAATACTAAAAGACTGTTTGTTTAATGTCTTAAATGAGAAAAATACTGCAAAGTACTTGTGATTTTTAAACTTTTTTTTCTATTATTCAACTTTGAAACTTTTTTGGGCCCCTGACAGCTGTGGGCCCTCTTCCTAATCTTTCACCGCTTTACGGCGCCCCTGCCTGCAACCACAGTGCCTTGTGAGAGATTATTCTCACTCTTAGGTCACGTCGTTGGTGCGCTCCATGCAGCTGCGTCCAGCGCACGGTCCATTCTCAAAGTGGCACAACCAAAAAACTATAATTAACCCACGATCGTTAATGTCCGCACATGTTCTCTACTTTCTGTCTTATCTGTGCCTGAAGCGCTCTGCTACTGCGGAGCTCATCACCTGTGCTGCGGTGATTTCACCTCACTGACGCAGCATCGAAACGCGCTCTCCGCTTTGTGGTCAGGAGATCCCTTTGATCTGCCCAAAAGTAACTGATGAGGTGAAAAAGTAAGAATTCAGGCATCAGCTTTTCTGGAGAGTTTAGAGGAGATGCAGGAAGATGAGAGACAGACAGGACAGGAAAGAAGTTAAATAAAAACAAAGTGTTGAAAAGTAAAATGTAGGTAGATTTCTCTCCACTACACGTTTTTACCTGTATAAAACAATAAGTTACACACATGTAATATTTATACATTTGATACAATTCAGATCACCTTCAAAACTCTGTCACACACCCAGGGCCGTTTCAAGGCATTCTGGGGGCCAAGGCAAAACAGAACACCCCCCACCCCCATAACTGGGCTCCCCAGAAGCCTCTGTGTAATTCATACCCTCTCCAGGAGTATTAGTTATACAGTTTTTGTAAAAGCCCCTCAGACATTACTTACATGTTCTAATATTATCAGATGAAAAACTAAATTATCAGACACGCCGTCTCATCTGCTTCTTTTCTAAACTTGCAAAAAGTAACAAGACCATTTGAAAGCCATTATTTGTGGATTCTCTGAAAGTTTCCATGGAGTGTGTGACAGCTTATTTTTTCATTGAGAAATATAAAACTGGAAAAAAGTGTAAGAGCAGCCAGGGTAATGATCAGTAAAATTGCGATTAATCACAATTAATTACAGAAAATTGTGCGATTAATTAGTTAATTTTTTTAATCGACTGACAGCCCTAGTGTAAATGTCTGTAGGCGCTGGGTTTGATGGCAGATGCTGTTCATTAGCATTAACCTTTCCAGTTTACGTAAGCCAGTCAGTGATTATTTTTGTGGGATGTGAATGAGAAAAAATTCGATCAGACTGAATCAAATTTTAAAAATGAGGAGAATGATTGGATGTTATAAAAAGCTGCGACGAGGGAGAGTCTAACAGGGTTACAGAGCAACTGTGGCGACGGCAGCTAATGGTCCACTCTGATTTATAAATGATTGCACATTTTGTTTGGCTAAAAGAAGAAATATGATGGTTGTTTACATATTTTCTTTCAGGCTGCTAGAAGAATTCATTCCTGTTGACTACTGTAACTTTAATGTTATGCTGTACTGATCTGACATCAGCTCATTAAAGGGATACTTTGCAACTTTTTCATAGTTTTAAATCATTTTCTTGAGCCAGTATCTGCTAAAATGACTCTTTACAGGATTAATGAAAGGCCCCCCAGCCCCTATCGCCCCCTGCGACTAGAATATTCCACTTGCAACTTCAGACTGGCGGGACACTCTGAGCTGGCATACTAGGCGCTGCAGTCTGGTTCCAGCAATCTTCCCTGCATCTTTCAAATCATGTACAGCTGATTTGTTTAATTTGGTGATGAATCACTTCTGTAGACACTAGTGAAGGCTGGGGAAACATTTCAGCTTTCAGATTTAGGTGTTAAAAAGACAAACGCACAGCTTTCAGTTCTACAAATGGACAACAAGGGGTGCTAAAAGCAAGCCCAAACTGCCTAGTTCCCATACTTACTTCTTTCTTTTGTTTTCTTTCGCCACAATTTCCAGATCCAAGGTGCGATCATCGTCTCATCCCTCATTGAGGTGTGTATCGGAGCTCTTGGTCTGCCCGGGATGCTGCTGAAGTACATCGGGCCGCTGACCATCACCCCCACTGTGGCTCTCATTGGGTTGTCCGGCTTCCAGGCTGCAGGCGAGAGAGCTGGAAAACACTGGGGCATCGCTATGCTGTAAGAACAATATAAACCATTTATAAAGTCACATTCTAGCTTAACATAATTGTCCAAGCAACATGGCATCAACATGTTTAGCCTGTCATGGATGTGTCTTAATTTCTGTCTGTAATGGAATTACTACGCAATTAATCCTCCATTTATCCAACAGTAAATGTGTCCAACTGCTTGTCTTTTCTCTAGAATTTTGTTTTTGAGGTTTTGTCTAAAGTTCTGCACTAAAAACTGATTTTATGCGACTGGTCAAGAAAAACAGAAAATTCCAAAAAGAGAGAGTTCTAGATGACGTCGCCTGTAGGGCTGCAGAGAAGTGACTCATGGAGGTGACATTAGGTCCTGCTGCATCAGTGCTGCTGCCGAAGGGCTTCTCCTCTCCCTCTACGGGGACAGAGGATGTGTGCCGGTAATTGTCACTGATTTCTCGGGCAGTTAGGATAATTTATTGGCTCTGAAGCCTCTGGAGTCCCAGTACAACCCACCCCAGTCTAAATGGAGACAGAATTATTTCTCTCAGGGGAATAAAAGTAGAAAAAAAATCTTTTTCTGACTATGATCTTTTCAATTGTATCCGCAGGACTATATTCTTGGTGTTGCTTTTCTCACAATATGCCAGAAATGTTAATTTCCCCCTGCCGATCTACAAAGCCAAGAAAGGCTGGACTTCATATCGGCTGCAGGTCTTCAGAATGTTTCCTGTGAGTACCAGCTTTGTTTTTTTTTACACTAATTCTCTCAAATCCCAACATTCTTCTCCCTGGTAAACAGTTTACTTTGATTTATTTAAAACTGTGTTCCCAAATAAATGAAATTATTCAACACAGCTAATCTCCTTCTCCCCAAGAGGCGTTACAGGATCGTGTAAATCAGTGTTTTTCTTCCCTCTGCAGGTCAAATCATTAAAAACTCAGTTGCTCCTTGTTTGTCTGATTTATAAACCTCATCAAAATGCTCCCCCAATGCTGCTTCACTTTCACTTAAATGTTCTTTTGTAACCTTGGCAGCCGTCAGCGACGTGCAAAACATTTCAACCAGTGATTTTCTTGCAGAATTATTTTATTTTTTTAATGATTTAAGTAACGATGCCAGGTTTTCATTTGTGTTGTTTGGCTTGTGTGAGGATTTGTGTAATAGTCCCCTCTCACCCCCAAAAAATCAAATTGTCAAATAGGCGTTTCCCTTTTATTTGTTCCCAGATCATAATGGCCATCCTGGTGTCATGGCTGCTGTGCTTTATTTTCACCGTTACCGACGTTTTTCCGCCGGAGGAGGACAAGTACGGTTTCTACGCTCGCACTGACGCACGCCAAGGAATCCTGACCGCTGCGCCGTGGTTCAAAGTCCCGTATCCCTGTAAGTGTGTTCAAGATGAAGGAACGGGCAGAGTCCTCAGTGAGGTGGTGTTTGGCAGAAAGAAAGCAGTTAATCCTACATAAACGTTAGATTTAATCTGGTGGTGCAAAAGAACTATAGGGTTGGGGCATGACTCGAAACAGCAGGGCTCTTTTGAGAGACTTTGGGACTTTTCATCACAAAAGACGGCAAAGAGTTTATTGATTTTTCTTCCGGAGGAATAAAAGGGCAAGTCGGGTTTAAGAGTTTGGAGCTTGGGTAAAGTTTGTCAAGCCCTGACTTCTGCTTTCTTCCTGAGCTGTAGTTTATCAAGTAAATGATCTTATTTCTGTAGTAAACTACAGTTTTGTCAGGTGCACCTTGCTAATACCAGGCTGAACCCTCCAGAGGTGCCTTATTGGCGTAGATTCAGCAAGGTGTTGGAAACTGGCCCGGTCTGTTGATACGAGACAGGATGGATCTATTCTTTCACGTTTTCACATCTGAATGTTGCAGCGGAAACCGAGACTCAAAAGTGACAGGTCAATGTTAATATAGTCATCTAAATAGTTTTTTAATAGATAAATAAACCAATGGTTTAAATAAGTTAAATTTGATTTTAAATTAATTTTTTAATTTAGTTAGATTTTAATTATTTACATTTAAATAATCAATAAATACTGAAAAGAATACAAATAAATATAATAATTAAAATAAATTTATTTACATTAAAATTACATTAAAGTGCATTTAAAACATATTTAAATTATAAAAAAAAATAAATGCAGTTAAAATCAAATTATAGGAACATTAAATTTCATTTCACCAATATCGTCTTATCTAAATTAGGGTTGTCACGGTAACCGATGTAGCGGTAAACCCCGGTAAAAAAGGTTGACAATAATAATAACAACCGTCTTGTTTTTAAAACTATATTATCTTGGTGGATTACCGTGGCTGCGGTGTAGGCGCGGTGACCCTTACCAGCCACCGTATCATCTGCTGAAGTTGCCGGTGTCTGTACAGGATCGGCTCGGGGTCCTTCGACTGCCGATGACGTCAAAGTAGTTGACTGGCTGAACATGAAGCTTACGGAAGTTACGTTATCACGTTATGATTTTGATTGGTCAGAACAAATTTACGGTCGTAGTCTTAGCGGTTGTAGTCCTGTAGTCCAAAAATCAACACTTTTTGGAGAAAATGTGTTTGAATTTCTAAAGGAAATGTAAAATATAAGCAAATGATAAACGGTGAACCTCAGAAGCTCTTGATGTTGATGAAATGGGGCAAAATAAAATATAAGAACTTTATTGAAAGACACCAAGCAATATTTAGAGTCAAAGAATGTATTTAGATAACAACTAAAGAAATTTACAGACGAACTCCACATTAATACAAACAGACGTGGCTTCACATATAAGAACTGTTCTATTGTTTGTCAGTTGGATGTTGGTTTTATGCAGTTTCACATTCTTTACAAAACAAAGATAATATGGTGTTTTATTAACAAATTACAATTATAAAGAAAACATTTAGGTGTTAACAAACAAGAATTTATTAACAAAACTGCTGACGTCTTTCCAAAACGTACGTGTGAAAGCCGAGTAGATATGCAGTCATGTGACATCATCGGCAGTCTAATGGGCCATTCCCAATCTGTACCTGGTCGGCCCGGCCCGGATAGCTCCAGTCGGCCCCAGCCTGGCCCGGTTGATTCCACACATCCTTGCTCAGGTATGCAAGGAATGCAGTCAGAGACATTTTCAGCTTCTAAGTAATCAGCATGTTAGTAAATGATAATGAATTGAGCATGCCTTAAGCCCATGTGGGCTGATTCTACCCACCAATCAGAGGCTTGCTCTATTGGAAGGTGTGAATTTGTGGACTGATAAGCCGGCTTATCAGTTAGCAGTGGGTGTGTTGGCCCTGGTCAGCCTGAAGTGGACCACCTCAGAAAGTGGGCTGAGAAACAGTCTCGTTACACACTGAAAAGGGGCTGGCCACCAAGATATGTAAGCAAGCTATGCTATCCGGGCCGACCAGGTACAGATGGGAATGGCCCATAAGGACCCCGAGCCGATCCTGTACTGACACCGGCGGCACATGCGCACTTTGTTGTTTACAGCCAAAACTTTCTTGAGGCTAAAGCTGAAATAATGGCCAAAGAAGGAGACGGCAGCGCTCAGGACATTTATTATCCCTCAAAAAAGACAAAGTGGGAAGTACGGGCATTTTTTAGATGTTTGAAGAATGCTGAGGGAGTTTATAGAAGACGGACGGCTATCCTGTTTGCAGCACGTGCAGAAAAAGTGTCTGTGAAAGGCAGTAACGCTTCAAATCATCTGCGTGACCATCACCCACAACTCTACAGTCAACGCAAGGCAAGCTAACGTTAGCGTTTTAGCTAAACTGCGTGATCCGAGGATTTGGGTTGAGGGAGAACGCAACGAGTGGCTATATAAAGCAGCCGCAGCGCCGCTACCTGCATATACACCGTGTCGCGGACACCGCCATGTTGAAATGACGCTATGCATTACGGGGCTCCCAGGGGCAGATAAGAGTTGGTCTCTCTCCGAGAATAATTATGAATTTAACAACGATTACTGCCTGATGACATTTTCCCACATCTGCAAAGCTCACTGGAAGGACACAAACCGAGGACAATATTTTCCTGATATAGGGTTTATTACTCAAGTAAGGGTAAAAAAGTACCTGATTAGAAGGCTACTTGAGTACTGAGTATCATCTGATCTAATATTTTTAAAATGATGACATCAAACAGACAAAAAATAAGAAGTTATGGGCAAATATTGGTATTTTAGACTAAAGGGAAAAATGTAAACAAATAAACAACATAATTACAAAATAACACATTTTAGGCTAAATTTAGACACAAACTGAGGACAATATTTTCCTGATATACAGGGTTTATGTAGTTGTCTGAAAATGTAACACGTTTAAAAAAATACCGCAATAATACCGAAAACTGTGGTAATTTTGATCACAATAACCGTGGGGTTACATTTTCACACCGTGACGACCCTAATCTAAATAGTTTGTAAGTTTTCTTCAAGCATCGTTCTATAATGGCTGTAGGGTGTTTATCTGCTCTGATTGGTGTTTGTCTACGTTCACAGTCCAGTGGGGCGCTCCCACTGTAACGGCTGCTGGCGTGATCGGCATGCTGAGTGCTGTGGTGGCCAGCATCATAGAGTCAATAGGAGACTACTACGCCTGTGCTCGCCTCTCTTGTGCTCCTCCTCCTCCCGTCCATGCTATCAACCGGTAATCTGAAGCATTTCACAGACTATGTACTGTGGACATGTTGGTGACGCTCTCCTCCTTCCTCCTAAGGGGGATATTTGTGGAGGGCCTTTCCTGTGTGCTGGATGGAGTTTTTGGGACAGGAAATGGTTCTACCTCCTCAAGTCCAAACATAGGTGTTCTTGGAATTACAAAGGTAATGCAGACACTTTCAGTTGACTGTTTTTATGTTTGTTTGGGGTTTTTTTTTTTGTGTGTAGAAGTTTTCAAACATGCACTGCAATCTTACACATTTGTAATGAGTTAATTTACCTGTTATTTAATAAGACATGAGATTCCAGAGTAAATATGAAATCAACCTTATGGATCTGTTGGGTTATTTTAACCAGAAGATTGGAACTTTTTATTGCAGGGATTAGATAACAACCTCGTATTCACTCAGAGACAACAGAAGAGAGAGTCAAGTTTAAAAGTTTAAAGATTTATTACTAAACAAATTAAACTAGACTAACTTTAACACTAAATGTATGGTGTAACTAAGGTGGATGAGACGGAGAACGGTGTAGTGTGGAATGTTGCTCAGAACCAGCAAATCCGAAGAAACGATTAGTTCTGGTGGGAATCGAAGGTGATGTTTTCGCGCTAAGCTTTGGTTAGGAGATTCATAAACGCATTCAACGCCATTCTGTCGGTCTACGTGCCCTTAGCGGAAGTCCCCGTTAGATCAGGAATGTCAAGGTCCAGCTTGACCCTCTCAGCTTTTATTCTGAAAGGAACCGTTGCAGCAGGTGGAACAGCAACAGATTTTATCCAGCTTGTCGTTGGTTCTTTCGGCTGAAGAGGAAAGTTACGGATTGGCCACTCCGACAACTTCTCTAGAACGCTTTGAACTGGCGTTAAAGATGACGTGGGCACAGTTTTATACTTCGGATGTTTTGGTTTATGGTCGAATGAAAAGATGACAGATTTACCAAACACCACCAAAACCACGCCTCCGTCAGATCTGGCAGATTCTGATTGGATCAGTAAAAGCAACGTGTCATGTCTTAACGCTACGTGAGATCAGTCCTAGTGGAAACATTTAAAGTTATATTACTTATTATATTCTATAGGATTATAATAAAGTAATTAATATTTTGATTTCACAGATTGGTCACATCTTATTATTGACTAACACTTTGTTTGATTAGCTTTATTAAAATAGAGTTATTTGATTTATTAAAAGGAGAGAGTCCATTCTTCATTCTTCTCTTGAACTGGAAAGAAGCAATTTAGAAGCAAATGCATGAGACCTTGAGGCCATATCTCATGCAGACTAGTTCTGTGTCAGAGGAGAGGGGGGAGATGACTTTTTGGTGGAAAACATTCATTTCATTCTGTTGCACATTTTATAAAGGAAAACTGCATGAATTCACATGTCGCATGCTGCTCTTTTCTATTAACTAATCCCAAAATGCTGCTTTTCCCTTCCTCTATAATCATTAACTCATTCACTGCCAGCCATTTCCTGATCACTAACGGCCTTCACTGCCAGCGTTTCTCACCGTTTTTACTGTTCTTTTAAGAGTCACAGAACGTTGCGCGCTAGCATGATGTCGATGCCAAAACAACCAAAACAAAGAGGAAACTCACCTCTTACATCAAGAAGAAGCTGCGTGTTTCGAGCGTTATCCGTTCTTTCATAATCCGTTGTCGAATTGTGATCGGCAGAAGCTTTTCCAGTTCGCGCCTCACTTTTTTTACAGGAACGGCCCAAAACGATCTCCAAACACATGGATGTTCTGCTTCCTGATCACGTGATCTGTGACGTATGCGGATGAAGATCGGCTTCAGGGCTGAGATGTTTGTTCTCTCAGCGCGGGGGCTCGTTCCGATGCTCAAACAGTTAAAAAAAATGCAAATGACGACTTTAGTCGTCATTGGCAGTGAATGAGTTAATGTCATAATTGTGAATTTTAGTTGTTATGACATGATTAAGGTCTAAAAATATCTATTTTCCTTCTGATTTCCCCTTCAGGTGGGCAGCAGACGTGTGATCCAGTACGGCGCTGCCATGATGCTGCTGCTGGGGCTCGTGGGTAAATTCAGCGCCCTGTTTGCCTCGCTGCCTGACCCAGTTCTAGGAGCTCTGTTCTGCACGTTGTTTGGAATGATTACAGCCGTGGGCCTGTCCAACCTGCAGTTTGTTGACCTCAACTCCTCCAGAAACCTCTTTGTTTTAGGTTTTTCTGTCTTCTTTGGCCTGATGCTGCCAAGCTACCTTAAACAGAACCCACTGGTCACTGGTGAGTCCAGGATTAACTAACCAATACCCATGTTTCCTCTGGGCATTTCATCTCTTCTAACAGTTAAGTTAGTTTTTTCTGCATCATGTTTAGGACCAGACGTGTTTATCTTTTACTTTATTTGGGACTTTCTGATTTAAAGGGTTAAAAAGGTTAGAATTTCCACTTGAAACTGCCGTCTTGGGGTGGGATTAATTGCTGGGTTTGCTTGCTCCTATTTTCCACGTCAGTTTTAACTTAAACTTTGCTTTTGATTAAAACATAAAGTCCGTTCCTAACTCTCTGTCTCTGAATTTTCTCAGGCATAGTTGAAATTGACCAAGTCCTGAACGTGCTGCTCACCACCGCCATGTTTGTTGGAGGTTGTGTTGCTTTTATTTTGGACAACACTATCCCTGGTAAGCTCTTTTCCACATTAAAGCTTACAAAACACTAGTAGTCTGAGGCAGGGATGCAACAATACCACTTTTTTCCAAACCGATACGATACCGATACTTGGAACTGAGTACTCGCCGATACCGATTGCCAATACCGATACTTCTACCACACAAAAAATGCACTGATTCTGAATAGAGGTGGGAAAAATGATCGATTCTAAGATGCATCGCGATTCAGCCGTGCATGATTCCGCAACGATTCAGTAACGTGACATAATGAGATTTTCTCCCTATGTCTATGCAGGACAATAAAGTTTTGAGGTTTTACAACTACTTCTGCGGCAGATTTGCAACGACATGCGCACTGCGTTGCCCTAGCGCCAATTTAAAACAGAAAAGGTGGACAGAGATACACGGCGAACATTACCAGTAATCAATGATGTACCCGTTACATTTAAATCAGATGTCTGGGCTAAATTCGGTTTTGGGATCCTGGATGTGAAAGAATCACTTAACACAGTATTTGTTTACTATTTTTAAGTTCAGTAGTATTCTATCTTAAAGCTGCTCTACAGAAAACATATTTGTCGATGGTTTGCATAGAAAGGCAGCGGTTTCTAAATGTGACCGTGAGGAGAAGATGAGTTGAGCTGAGCTAACACCTGCTGCTAACCCAGAGGACAGAGACCTGATGGATGGACCCACAAATGTGGATTTCCCTATTTTTTGGTCTTTTAGTCCCTCATTTTCTCCAGCTGCACAACTAAGTGCATTTCTTTTATGGATTAAGGCTGTAGTTCGCACGACTGATTTCTCTGTGGCTTTAAAACTTACCGCAACAGTGGAAGGCACATGAGAAATGCTTTTTATTTTTATTTTATGAAATTTGAAATGAATTTATCTCTCTAACCTCAGGTTCCCTTGAAGAGCGGGGCATCAGGAAGCTGAAACGTGGCACTGGCCTCAGCGCAGCAGAACTGGAAGGGATGAGGTCTTACGATTTGCCGTTTGGAATGGACTTCTTCAACCGGCATGCGGTTTTCAAATATATCCCCATCAGCCCTGCTTTCACAGGCTACCACTGGGGTAGGATGAGAGAGGCTGGCAGGAGCAGAATGGGACATGGGAACGTCGTGAAGGGAGGAGGGGGAGGGGCAGGGGGAGGAAGCCCCGCACCCGGGGAGAGTCGGGTATAGCTAACGGACTGGAGAGACCTTAGATGTGACAATGGGGAGCAAGGGATGGTGCACTAAGATTAAACGATGGGAGAAAGGAGCACAGAAGCTACGCAGGATTGTGGAGGACATGATGTTGCACAAACGCCCTCATCAGTGTGTTTTCTTAGGCTTGTGTGTCTTTCCCCACTTTACTTATATGCTATTTTAAGCATGCTATAGCAAGTCAGGGCATGCAGTAAGATGGCATCATGCAGAGGTGTGTGTGTGTTTGTGTGTGTGTGTGTGTGTGTGCGTGTGTGTGTGTGTGTGTGACAGATGGCCATCAGTCCACCAAAACCGAATGTTAATGACTCGCTGTCTCAAAATCTCTCGTGTGACGTTTCAAAAGGACATCTACTAAAAGCACGTTAGAGCGGATGTTATACAACCACATTAGACACACGCGCGCACGCACAGCCTCACAGAAAACGTTTGAGAGCAACGAACCATGTTATGAGAACTGATGGAAGTAGTTAATCAGGTGTCCTTAGCCATGCAAAGTGATTGTGAGATTTGTTTTTGCACTATCTGCCTCCTGAGTTCAAAACTAGAATGTTGCATCACAGCTTTCCCCGTTCAGACCTCCGACTCACTCAGCAAACCGTCACGCCTGCCCGTCACTAATCACACTCGCACAGCTTTTTAAAGATAGAAAACACTCTCGGAATCATCATTAACTCGCCCGTTTACGTCTCGTCACCTTGTCGTTATTACGCACAAGTTACTAACCAAAACACTTGACTTATGGAGCTGTTGCATGGGACCGAAGGACGTTTGTTTGGTCAGACGCTTTTCAGAAGTTGCTGTGACAGTCCAGCGAGGGACACGTGGATTTGTCCGGGAGATTTTCTGCAAAAATGAGACTTAAGCGAGTTAACTTCCTGCCTGGATCTCGTAGTTTTCAGACGTTGCTTCGTCTTTAGCAGTAACAGTCCTCCCGTCTGTGCGAGTTCTAGTGTAACTGCAGCTAAAATGGTCGTCTTTTCTCCTCGTTTACCCAAACCGCTGCTTTTTCCACAGATTTTTATTGTGCCAACGACCGTTTCCTCACATTCCCTCCCATCTTCAGCACACCTCCCGTTTATCTTCCACGCTGCTGTAACCGGTTAACTGCTGTTACCGTTGGTGTTTGATGTTGGTGGCACCTTTTAAATCTGCACCTTCTTAGCCGAGTAGTGACTAACGAGTCCCATCCGACCGCCCTGTGTGCCTCTGCTGCTTTAAACGAAACACGGCGTCTGCAGAAGTTTCTCACAACGATAAAGAATTAGCTGGGTACATAAATATTTACCCCGTCGGACGTTTTGCCGAACCAAAACGTTGATTTAGTGTTTTTGTTGTTCTCGTTACCCAAACCAAAACTTCCAACACTGGAATTTGTTGCTACTTATAAACTTCCCTAGTTTTCTTCTGTTAAAGCTATTTATTTATTTATATAAAAAAAGAAATTGAGCGGTTTCTTGCTGCACGTTTAATGCAACGCAGTGTTTCAGATTATTTATCAGTTTACATGTTCATGCCCTGCAATGATTGACCTGTTTTAGTGAATATTAGAGGGCTTCATTTCATTCCATTTTTGATAAATCGTATTTAAAGGCAGAAGAAAAAAACACTTTTAGATGTGTAACGAACTAGTTGGTTCAGATTTTAGAGTAAGGGCCTTTTACTGCAGCTACTTGCACAAGAACATCAGGGTCCGAGTGGGTAGGTTTTATTTACCTGGACCCAGGTGTGTTGGTAATAATGGTGTCACGTGTAGCTTTATTTTCTTGTTTTTGGTTATTTGCTTTGCAGGATTTATGTGCTTTTTTTCTATTTAGTGTCTGATTATTGATGTTGTTCAGTTATTTGATGAACTTGAATGATTTGTTCTCATAAAACTTAAGTTTCTTCACTTTTATCCAGCATTAAATTACATGTTTCACATGATTTAGTCTCTGAAAATTAATGCAGGAATCCAACTTTTACATGGACTTTTGCTGTTTGCCAGAGTGATGAATAATTTGTGTGAAATGTTGGAATAAATTAAATTTTAGACATTTCTAAAGGAAATTTTTAAATATAAAATTAGTATGGTACAAAATTATTATTAATTTACGTTTGGGGCAGTATATGTTATGACATAAAATAATAATTAATAATTTCAATGAATTAACCCCAATCCTATCAGCTGCTTTTGTGACGACTTGATATTCATCCAGATAAAGCAGGGATGTCCAAACCTTTCAACACAACGTTGGTACTCATGGGCCACTAAATTTAAACAAAAGTTATAGTTTTTATTTTAACCATTCAAATAATACAGTAATATAATTTAGTAAAGAGAACAGGTTTTTTTAAGTTGGTTTTAGTTCATCCGCCACAGGAAAAATGACCCGAATCACTCATTCTTCGCTAAAGTTTGCTGAATTTTGTCTAAATTTGTGAATAATTCTCAAAAGTGGGCTTTTTAATGAGTCGACAAGGGTTTGTGGTAGAAATGACTGTGGAATTAAATCAAAAGGAAATAAACTTGTTAATAAAACGCTTAGATTTAATCTTTCACATTAAGAAAAGAAAACTGTTGAGGTCCTCTATGTGCATCAACAGCTGGCTGGAAAAACAACAATATTGTTGAAATGCAGTCCAGGGCTTTGGAAATGCACTAAGGTGGCGATGCTTTAATCAGGGGACTGAATCTGTGTAAATGGTGGGTTTAAACATCCGCGTCATAAAATATTAGCAGTGACTAATTTATGCTGGATAAGATGGAAGAAACGAGCATGAAAAGTGCAGAGATGAGGAAAAAGATGTTGTCAGAGAGGTGAATAAATCTAAAACCTCATCGGATTTCTGTGCTGAGCTGAAGCAGCTCTAGTGGAGTTATCGACGCAACGCGCTGATGTTGTTTATGTTTTTGCTCACTGTGTAGATTGCAGCAGAAGCTTCTGCTGATGAAGCAGCAGTCAGAACAGTTGTAACCTACTAAGTTTTCTCTGAGAACAACATGGATGTTTTTTACATAACATGAACACACAATATCCTGCACATTAAGACCTTTTTTTTTTGTCTCCCCTCCCATTGGCTCTCCTAACCCTAACCCTCCTCTCTTCATGCGCCTGGATGCAGGAGGACGACACCTGCTGGTCACCTTGTTAAGAGCCTTGTTATTGGCAGCTGAGTGAACCTGCCTTGTCACATAAAGATGAATATTAGTCGTGATGTGCCTAAAAACTGCTTCCTGCTGTTTTTGACCCCCAACGCTAAAAAAAATGTATTTCCTATTTTAGGAGTTGTTACAGAAGTAGTCCATTTACAGTAAAGTCTTCTTTTTCTGGCCCGATTTACATTAGAGGCAGTTGAACTGATGGCTCTTAAGAAGGTAACCATTAGGTTAAAACACAAAGATATTGATCCCTTTCAGTTATTTTGAAGGGGGCTCTACCTGATGATTATATTTCTGTGTAAAGAGTTTTATCGTTTTCAGTGTTTGTTTTTATACATCATTTTTATGTTTTTGCAAGCAGATATTTGTAATAAAAATCTACTTTTAATCTTAAATCATGCTGAAAAGTGCACCATCTTGTTATACTTTTTATTTAAAAGTATATATCGATTTGAAGTTTGTGGTTTAATGAAATCTTTCTGCCTGTTAGGACCTTAACATATTGTATTTTTTTACTCTTTAACATTGTTTTCTGCTCATGTTACACATTACCAGTATAAATCAAAAGAGCAAGTTGAGAAAGGTAGATGTAAAGAAATCAAAAACATGTATATTTAATGTTTACAGAATATTCAGGAAGATGAATTGTGTAAACTAATTGTAACAATAAAATGATTTATTCTTTGTTCTTAAAAATATTTAATAAGAAGTTAAATATTTCTGTCTCGTGTCTTTTCTATCATTTTAGTAATGCCACCAATTGGCCAGCAGGGGTCGATATTGCACATGCAGAGTTTAATTCGTTGGTAAACAACTCCCATCACCTCATCAAATAACCCATCACTGGTTATTTTAGTAAATTTAAAAAAATGCAATGAATTGGAATACAGGATTTGTTTTCTTCTCTGCTTTCAACAGAAAAAGACTGAGGTAAACAAAACATTAAATCTATTAATAGACAAGGTCACAAAACTAAAACATATATGGTGAACAGAAATAAGTTACAGTGAAGCCACTTTCAGGCAACTGCATTGGTATTGGTTAACTTGCCGATAACGATACCGTATTTATTTCACCCCGTCAGTGAGAACTTATTTTTTGTTTATTCCTTTTATTTTAGATGTATGATTTCAAGTCTGCATGTTATCTCTTCTTTTGTCGTGTTTCAGTCAGGTTCTATAGAAATGGGTCTTTTAGATCGAGTAATCAGGCCTGGGTGTGGTTGGTGAAAGGGAGATCAGCTTTCCAAAGAATGCGGTCGGTCACAGTTAAATCGTTGTTTTAGAAGGGGCGATCGCTTTTTTTAAATTGAGTTTGGAAAAGTTGTCTTTTTTTTAATTGTGAAAGTGACGTGGTTTCACTTATGTCTAATTATATCGAACCAAGGCTTATTAAACACTAAGAAATTACCTAGTGGTCTGAGTAAATGAATACAAATAAACGTCTTGTAAAACAGGAACGAACGTGTTTGACTAGTTTGCTTAAACTTGAGCATTTTTCTCATTCGCAATGAAGACAAAGTCCTTTTAATAACAATGAACTGTGTGCGCGCGCCTCCTCGTTTTTCCCATTGTTGTCACGTTTTCATTCACTTCTGCGCGCGACGTGAACAACAAAGGCACGTCGGTCTCGCTCTCTGATTGGCTGCCAGGAATAAGGTCCCCGCGCGACCCTTCTGAGAGCTCTGCCACAGCAGATGGACCACTTCTCCTCCTACCAGTTCTTGCTTCTGGACTCCAAGCCGCACTAGTCACTCCTGCTGTTTGTTTCCAACGGTAGAAGCACGAGTCAACCGTTAACGGACAACCGAGGAGGAAGGAGCAGCGGAACCGAGGAGAAACACGGTAGGTAAGCCGTTAAAGGGTCCCCGAAAGTCGGCGTGATACAATCACAAGGGTCGCTGTAGCTAACTCGGGTTATTGTGATGATTTCTTTAGGAAGGTGTAACGAAATGCTCTTGAGTGGGTGGTTTATTTGTTTAGGTAGAAGAATAGGTTAAATTTAAATCGCTTATCACCAAAAAAAAGCCTCAATGACACATTTTTACGTATTTTAGCTTTTTCAGAACAAACCTTGAACATAAAACGACCGAAACTGCTTCTGTTTGACGCATTGGGTCTAATAACGGAGTTCATTTAACCATGTCTGAAGAAAACGGGTTGCATAAGCAGGAGATGTTTAAGATTCCTCTCAGCACACATGGCAGCCACACAGAGGAAGTGCACATTCGGTTAATCCAAGTTTTCTTCTTTGGTTTTTGGTGTTTCTGAAGCATTTTAGTGATGGTGAGTAGTAGCCTAGTGAACCAAATTATTCCTGTGCAAATTTTATTAGTTAAAGTTGAATTTATTTAGTCTGGCTTGCCAGGCTAGAAAAACATTAGATTCCCAAAGAAAACCAGAGCTTAGGTTCACTATCATTGGAAGTTAGATCAAAATTAGACCTTTTGCAGGTTTTCAGTGATCTATAGGGCAGCTTGTTCTGTCTTACAAAGCTCCAAAGATTTGTTATAAATAACTATACAATTAAAACAATGCTACCTATTTTTACAGGAATTTGCAGCTTTGCATTTAGTGAAGAGTGACCAGCAGATCTGGCTGGAACCTGAAGCCGTTTTGGATTCGGCCTTGCAGGGTTTTTGACAACTCCAGAAGCAGAAACACTATTTTTGGCCCAGCATTGTAGGCCAGTTGTCAGAGCTGACTTTTTTCTTGGTGTTGCTATGGCAATAGTGACAATACAAGCAGTAGTGATGCAGAGGCTGGAAAGCAGGATGGTGGGTTTTGGGAGAGGACAGGGGGAGGTTTGGGGCTATTCAGGGACCGTCTCGGCAAGGGGTAAGACGTTGACAGAGGAGGTTTGGAGCCGATGGGGCAAGAGGGCAGAAAAAAGGCAACGTGTATGTGAATGAAAGGTATTCGGGGAAAAGAAGTCAGGAAGTTGGAGTGTTGGGTGAAGCTGAATGAGACGATCATGGCAGGATCAAATCAACTTTATTTATAAAGTGCTTTCACATGCCCAAAACGGACAGACAAAGCGCTGTACACCAATAAAAATCACAACAATAAAACAGACATATAACCATTTAAAATACAATAAGAAATCCCGAGTACAAGTTCTCAGTCCATATCAGTCCTTTTTCTAGAATCAGATCCAGACACATTCAAAGTGATGCTGCCCACGCAATCCCAACTTCAGTGTCCAAACGCCAGCGAGAACAGATGTGTTTTTAGTCGGCTTTTAAAGGTCTCCAGTGATTTGGCCTGCTTTACGTCGGCTTGCAGCTCATTCCAAAGACTTGGTCCGAGCGCTGAAAAGGCACGACTCCCACGAGACTTCAGGCTGTACCTGGGCACGGTTAATAGTCTCTGGTCAGCTGACCTAAGGGAACGCACCGGGACATGTCGGTGGATGATGTCAGAAAGGTATTTAGGTGCCCCTGAGTTTAACGCCTTAAACACAAACAGGATAACCTTAAACCTGATGCGATAGGAGACAGGGAGCCAATGCAAGGCACGTAGGACTGGTGTAATATGTTCAGACCTCCCGGTAGATGTTAACAACCGAGCTACTGGAGCTTGCCTAAGCCCCGGCAATATAGCGAGTTGCAATAATCCAGCCTGCAGGTAACAAAGGCATGGGTCACAGTTTCCAGATGACTTGAATGAATTGGACGTTCGTATACTGAGTGGTTATGAGCCTGAACAACGGAGCAGACTGAGGAGAACGAGGCGTAAAGCGAGTATCGGTACTCTGGGGAGTTAGTTGCATTTGGACTGGTTTCCAGAACAGCAGTCTGATGTGAAACAGAACTGGGTCAGGCATGAGTTCATCTGTTTGTATTCATATGCCGATGTTGGCTCTGTTACTTCGGTCTTCGTGTAAAATAGAAATCATCCTTATAAAGAGGAGGAGTTCTGGTTAGTAACCCTCTGGAGGCGGGCGTTGCAGATTTGCAAGAGTTAAAACCCACCTGGTTACTCCCTGTATGTCCTTCATGAGCATTTTCAACTCAGAAGCACCCCTGAACAGTGTTGCCAACTGTTTTTGACTGAAAGTAGCTGAAGTTCCCCCCAAAAGTCACTAGATGTCGCCAGATGACGTCACGTGCTTATTTACATATTGATGACGTCATCACGCCACATTAGCGTTCGTTTTCCCTATGGCATCTATTATATATATATATATATATATATATATATATATATATATATATATATATAATAGGACTAAAAGGGAGGAAAATAAATACTATGTTATATGTTAAAGTTATTAATTAGTATGATTAAAATGGCCCAAATTGCTTTGATATGTACAATAAATTCCAAAACTACCAATAAAGTGGCATTAAAACAGATATGGTGTGGTGATCCAAACAGTTCTGTTGTAGGATATAACTCAGACCTCCTGCTCTCCTCATTCTCACAGACATTTTCCTAAAAAGCTGTTTTTTTACACCTCATAGTTTCTCAACTTCTCTGTTGTGTATTCTCTCCATCGTGATAATAACGGCGCTCCGAGCAAAAGGGAGGTGGTGTCTCATAGTATAACCATCCCTGTGTCACTGAAGGAAATTCAGATGAGCCACAGAGCTGCGTGTGTAAACGGGACGGTAGTTGAAACTCCCGATGACTTTATTTGCCAAATGCAGGAAAAACCAAAGTGTCTGACGGCTGCAGAACCAGAGATGGCAGGTTGACGCCCGCGCCGTCTCTAGTAGAAGCGTGAGCCTGCAGCAATATGAAAGCAGCAGACATAAATCGGCGGTCTCCAGCTCTGCAGCTTCAGCGAATCAGACCGGCCGAAAACGGTTTATGATTGGTCAGTCCTCGTGCACATGCGCAGATTATCGTTCTCTTTCCTTACTCCCGGAAGAACGGTTCAGAGTGCAAACGGTTTCTTTGTTGCTAATCTGTAGGGAATATCTACATGAAAGTTCTACAGAAAGTAGCAACGGGTCCTGAGAAATGTCGCTAAGTTTGTCGCTAGGCGCTTTTTGGAAAAAAAGTCGTTGAGGGGGGTCAAAAAGTCGTTAGGAACAGTGACAAAGTCGCCGAGTTGGCAACACTGCCCCTGAAGGACTTAAATGTTCGTCCTTTTATCAAAACTTATTTAGAGCCTGAGAGGGTTAAAAGCTAAAGCTGGCCATGACTCTTGGTGCTTTTGGCTCAACATCTGGGATAAAACAACCACAACAAAACAACACCTATTTAAGAGCAGGTCAGTTAAACTGAGTCAGATTATTCTCTAGATTACACGTTGTTTCTGCCAGGTGCTAATCCCTAAAGTCAAAGTGGTGTGCTCTGTTACAAAACAACAAAAACTAACTCCTGATCATTTAGATTTTAAAGCTTTGTCCCGTGGTTTGACAAAATTGTGATCCCTTCAGCCGGGTGCAAAATGAAAACAACACCAAGTGCATCAGTTAATCCAGATTAGATCATTATCTCCAGGCCGGCAGCTACTCTGGTCTGAACCTGTTTTTGTTATCAGATGTCAGTAAAGATGCCCTGTGATACCACCTCTGTCACAGACCATTGGCATCATTAATAGTCTTTTAGTGAAGCTGCCTTTGTCAGCATTACCTGATACGTGATATTAAAGCCTAATGACTGCCATTGTGTAGGTCAGCGGTGAGCTGTTGGAGCTTCACACGACTAATATTGGTGCTGAAATATTGATGGGTCTTCTTGGCATGAGACTTGGCTGATTGATAATTAATATTTAACGTGTCCATTTATTTCAGAGATTGACAGCCTTGGGTTGTTTATCAGCACTGAATCTAATCATGTCTCTTACTCCATGGTCGTTTAAGGAAGTTTTAGGCTGTATAAGAAGTGTCAGTTTCCTGTGTGACTTACTGAGTAAAGGAGGAAGCTGTTTGACGGAAGGGGAGCACTTCCTTTTACACACTCTCCTCCCCGTTAGTGCCACGCTCGGAAGAAAAGACCCTCGTGGGCCATTTTATACCAATTCCCACTACCTGAGGATACGAACCGTCAACCTGTTTAACCCTTCACTCTCTCTCCACACAGGAAACTCCGCCTCTCTGGTGATTCAGCAGAAATCTACGAGCTTCACTACGGTAAGGAGGAATTAAACGTGTATTCGTCTCATATTTGTGTTTCTGTTTTTAAAAACTACAAAAAAATAATTTTTACTTCAATATTTCCTTTTTTAAAATGTAACCTTATTCGCTGACACACAGACCCAGTGACCAGCTTTACTTCCTGAAATTCAAACACACATTATTTGAATTCAAACGCGTTTAGCTTTGTTTTTGCTCGTTTAATAGCTATAGACATGACGGATGAATGTTTATGTGTACTATCAGTCACGTGGTCAAAGATAAATGTTTAAGCAGCAGGTGGCTCGTGTGTCCCACACCTGTTTTAGGTCTTTCCGAAACCTTCTGTCGTGCCAAATGGACACAAAACACTCATTGAATCCTCACAGTGGGAAGGCTGAGTGCCAGTTTTAACAGCTGCATGTGTGAATTATGTGTTTATATGTTGATGGGACAGATAAGACTAAAGCAACTGCAAATGTTTAGCTTACTTAGAGATGCTTTGTTTTGGGGGATTTTGGGGCAGAAAACGGTTTACAGGAAAGCAGATATGATCTGTTATTGTTTACGGTCTGGAGCTTAACATTCTCCTCCTCTTCCTGCTGTCCTGTTACTCCTCTTCAGACTGTCCTTTCTGTGCCTGAACTCGTCATGAGGAGTCATGAGACCTAATCGGTTGTATGAACACTAACTCTGTTACTTCTTTGTCTGTCAGCTCCTCTCATGCTGGCTGAGAATGGATGAAATACGGGACGGGGTGCAGATCGGAGAGAACAAGTTTATCAGCAAGTACGGATTCATTTTCACGCTTTGCGTGTGTGTGTGTGTGTGTGTGCTGTTGTTGATTTGTGCGGTTTAACTTTTTATTTATTTATTTATTTTTTTGCTACAAAACAAAAATGTTTGAAATTGTTCTTCAAGCTTCTATAGAGCAAATGAAACTTTGTTGGGGCTCAAAATAACCCGGGAGCTCTGGAAATGGTCAAACACAACCCCGTAACAAAGCCCTAAAACTCAAAGTAAGGTTTGCCCCAGAGCTGTGTGCTAGTATGCTGGTTAAAGCCGGGCGGACACTGTGCGACTTTTTCACTCGTAGCACTCAGCTTCAGCTCAAACTGTACGACTTCCTCGCAGGGCAGATCTCACGAGCCATGCGCTCACACTGTACGTCTGGTAGCAACACGTCGGACCTAAAAATATGCTAAAAATAGCAGTTTTTACACAACACGTCAGACTTTTTTGTCTTATCTGTTGTCCTTCGGGAGTGCTGCAGGAGGACACACAGGGATTTATGGGGCTTGGATGAGGAAAACGAAATAAAGAAAGTAAATCTGTGTGTTGTGATCAGTTTAATTTGACATGAACACGACAAACAAGCTTTCTAGAACAGACTTTGAGAGTAAAAAAACGTGTAGAAACAAAAATGAACAATGTGTGTTATTAGGGAAATAGCGGGGAGCGGCGTTGATGCATGACTGTGCATGCGCCGTGAGCGGTTCTGGTACTTTTTGGGTCACAGCTGCTCGCAGCGCTGCTTCAACAGTGCGATACCCTCACGAGGGACGAGCAAAATATCAAACACCAGAAGTCCGTGCGAGCTCACCATTGCTGATCAGCAGCTGGTCACGTGGTGTTAATCGCCTCTCGTACACGACACGACCGCTCAGCACAAAACTCGCCCTGATCTTCTGGATTCTCGCATGAGTTGAAAATCGGTTCATAAAAGTGAAAAAGTTACACAGTGTACGCCCGGCTTTAGCAGCCTGAAGTTAGAAACTCTTTGCAGCTGCACAGTATCCAGATAACTCGATAGGAAAGCTGTGGATCTATCTGGTATTCATTCATAGTTTGGATATTCCCAGTACATCCCAGAACACGTTTGCTCTGACATTCCTCTTTGTCATTTTCTTCAAATCCAACAAGGATGTTGGCAGTAGCTCGAGCTAGCATTAGCGGTGGCTCAGGCCAGAGTTGTTTTGCAGTTAGCTTTACCTCCACCAACATTTACATTTTCCCAGCATTGAAAATAGTTCAGACATGCAAATGTAAGTCATTGTTTATGACGTGTTAAACCCGCTCTTCTCAGAACGAACCGTTTCTGTGGCCTTTACTAATTTGCATAGGAATCCTAAGCCACGCCCATGTTTTTCTGGACCATGGGTTCCCAACTGCCCAAAAAATGAATGGGAATCTATGAGCCATTAAAAGTAATTCTCTGATCCAGTTTGATATGTGTCATGGGTTTCACACATGATGTCCGTGAATGTTTGAGACTAAAGCCCAGCCCGGCCGCGTTTGTTCCACACTGCCTTAGGAATACGGATGTGATGTCATGAGCGCATCTCCGAGCACGTGGGCGGGGAAAAAGAGCGCGGAGAAGTCTGCGGCGGGTCCATTATTAAACAAAAGCGGGAAGCTCCCGTGGGTAGGCGTGCTTTTGAGCAAGCCTATCAGTCAGCAGTGGGTGTGTTGGCCCTGTTTGGCTCTAGGCGACGAAGGCTGAAAAGACGTCCGGTTGCGCTCGGGAAAATTCAAGGCTGCCTGAATGAGAAAACTCCCAACTCGGTCCAGGCAGAGTGGAGCTAAAGCTAGTGTGTAGAGGCTATTAAGCTTGGTTTATGCTTGACGCATTCACTTCCCGCTTGGTGATGCGGCTCGCGGATGGAACATGCTTAACAACTCGCAGCGTTTATGGTTCGTGCGGCTCGTCTCTGCGGTGAGCCAATATTCTCCCAAACTGTAGGGGGCAGCATGGAGCTCTACGGCATGCATCCAACACTACACCATAGTAGAAGTAGAAATTACTGTTTACAACATGGCATTCCAGCATTTTTAACAGCGTCCTCGTCTTTTCCGACAGTGCGAGCTATTTCTCTCCAAGAATTATTAATAACATGTTGATCACGGTGATCTCTGAGAGCTGAATCATACAAATGTCTGTATTTACGAACCTCTGCCATACTAGTTCTTGCCAGTCCGCCATGTTTTTCCGCGTCCGACCGTCCGCGTGGTTAGAAAATTTCCTAGGTGCGCGGTGGAGGGGCGTGGTTGTTAAAATGATGCAACTTTGCTGCGCGGACCTCGCGGACGCGTCAAGCATAAACCAAGCTTTAGGCTCCCTCCGGAGAAGCAGGTTAGAGAGGGCACAGACGTTTTGGCGCGCTACATTAGAGACCCCAAGCTGCCCTTATTCATCAACAAGGTAGATGTGGTTCTGAGTTTAGGACCACTGAGAACTGGTGTTTTACTGCCTGGTTTATTATAAAATCAGACCCTAAACGCCTAAACAATTGCCCCTCGGGGATGATTAAAGTTTTTTTTTTAATTGAATTGAATTAAGAGATTAACACGCGCATGGCTGAGAAAAGAAAAGGTTTCCATGTTCATGCAGAATTGTTATATTGCAATAAAGCTTTAATTTAATTCTAACTACAGCAAATCAATTGAACCTCATTTATTATGTTCTGTAAAAATGTTTGCCTGACTCCGACTGGCCCGGTTCTTTGTAAACAACATTTTCTCCAGCAGTGATTCAGTTTTTCTGTCCTCAGGGCAACGGTTCTCTCACATCTTAAAACCTACAACCTTTATTATGAGGGACAGAATCTGCAGCTGCGGCACAGAGAAGTGAGTAATCACTGCTGTCGGTTACTTTCGTGTCTAAATTTCTGCTAAAGGATTCCAATGTTCTCAGTCTTTAATCCGTTTGACCTTTTTACATTTTCACTCAGTCCTTTGCAGTAAAACACACACTACGCATTACACCATCCAGTCCAAAGGGGTAGTGACAGTCCGCGGTGTGTGTTCATTGATCATAGTTTCTGCCTCCAAACAGGAAGAAGGAGAGCTGATCGTCGAGGGATTGCTAAATATCTTTTGGGGCCTGAGGCGACCAATCAGGCTTCAGATGCAGGATGACCACGAGCGAATTCGACCGCCGCCCTCTTCCACATCCTGGCACTCTGGCTGCAATCTGGACAGTCAAGAGTAAGTGAACCAGACTGATCCGGTTACACCTCAGTGACTGGAAGCAGGTCGGCGGGGGCGGAGATAGACTATCACATTTATCCTAGAAAGGTCAGAGTGTGTGAATTGATTTTAGAATGAGTCTTCATTAAGTTATTTTTTAAATGTGTTGAAATTGTTAAGAAAAATAAAATTATTGTTAAATCTACTGAGATTAATTTAGTATCAAATCAATGCTACTTGGCAGAAATGTCTGAATACAGCCTTACCTGCGCTGCATACACCTCATATTTAAACTCTACTTTGATCTCTAAAATATTTTAGATATTTAAACTTTTTATGCAGCTCTTTGCTTTTGTCTTTTTAAATATTTCCCATCTGTTTTCTATTTGCAGTTCCCCCAACAACACAGACGGCCAGCAGGCCTCCACACAGACTCCGCCCACCGTGGAGGTGACGGCACCTGATGATCAGCTTGAGGACAACGGCGTCATGGAAGAGCATGCAGACGGTGAGGTTCCTTAATGACTGCATGAATAATAAAACGACTCATGCTTTTCTTATTTTATTCTCAAATGGTTCTGATCCGTTCTAAAAATCCTAGATATATGCTCTCTGTCGCCCTCTCCAGGCTTGCTGCGTAACGTCGCTGTGGTAAAATAAAATCTGTCACGATTAAAGGGACTTTACGGACTTTTGAATTTTAATGCTCGCGATTGCCCCCTCAGGCCAAAAGCGTAACGACAGCTTCAATAGTAGGCTCGTGCACGAGGCGTGCATGCTGTACGTGCACACTCCTTAACGAAAATAACAGCTGAGACAGTCCCGTGTGCGTGCGTGTGCGCGCGCGTGTGTGTGTGTGTCTGCTCCGTCTTCTCGATCCCCAGTGAGTCGTGGAGGATGGCTGCTTATACTGAGCCAGGATTCTCTGGAGGTTTCTTCCTGTTAAAAGGGAGTTTTCCTCTCCACTGTTGCTTTATGCTTGCTTAGTATGAGGATTGCTGTAAAGTCACTGACACTAGTCAGTGACTTGATGCAATTTACTGGGTTCCTTATATAGGAAACATTATTTCTGATTGGCTTAATGAACTGACCTGAATTGGAATGTTTATTATGTGAAGTGCCTTGAGACGACTCTTGTCGTGATTTGGCGCTTTATAAATAAAATTGAATTGAATTGAATTGAATTGAATTGAACTGCATGCTCGGATCATTCCCTTCCCTTGCTTGAAAAATTGTTCCAAAATGAAAGTTGAACCCACATCTTTTTTATCTGTGAATTCAATGCCGTTCGGCGAGTCTCAAATAAAAATTTGGGCGTCTTACTGTAAAAAAATATACCATTAATGTAAAAAAGAAACTCTAAATAAACTATGTTCACACCCAGAATCAAACCCAGGTCTTCTGCGTCCAAGGTCTTACTAGGTGAGCTAAAGCGCCAGTGACGTCCCTTGTATCTGTAACATTTATATCCTTGATGACAGCTGAAACAACGTCAAACCAAAGAACGGTTCGGAGTGAAAATGGCTATTTTGTTGCTAATTAGCAGGAAATATCTAGAAGAAAGTTCTACAGAAAGTAGCTAAGGGTCCTCAGAAATGTAGCTAGCTTTGTCACTAGGCGTTAGGAACAGAGACAAAGTGGCACTGCCTCTCTCTCTGCTGCTAAAGCTACGGATAGCAAATGCTACGGGCGATGCCTGAGCGTGAACGCGCATGAAGCAGCCTGCTCGACCCGAGCATCTCTCTTTTTCTGTGATTTTACAGAAAAACAGGCAATCACAGTAAAAATGCCAGGGCTCATTCTACAGGACCAGGGCATTGCAGGAGAATGTATGAAGAAGACATTTATTATTTCTATACATGTTTTGGCTGTCACACTTCCATAATGCCCCTTTAAAGATTCATGTTTACTGGCTTTTCTCCAACTCGAGTGCCCAAACAAACACATTAAGCGGCGTTTCAGTATTGAATAAAGTTTTATCAGGACTGTGACCAAAACACTAATCCTGATGAAATAATTTATTACTTACCTATCTATTAGCAGCACGGCTAGGTCAGAGTCCGTAGTACATGCTGTTGTTTTGAGAAGAGCTCTCCAGCGAGGAAAAGAAGGCCCAATATCAACTCTGGTTTTTGCTCTTGCTCTATCGCGTTCTATCTATCTATCTATCTATCTATCTATCTATCTATCTATCTATCTATCTATCTATCTATCTATCTATCTATCTATCTATCTATCTATCTATCTATCTATCTATCTATCTATCTATCTATCTATCATCTATCATCTATCATCTATCATCTATCATCTATCATCTATCTATCATCTATCTATCATCTATCTATCATCTATCTATCATCTATCTATCTATCTATCTATCTACAGTATCTACAGTATCTATCTATCTATCTACAGTATCTATCTATCTATCATCTATCTATCATCTATCTATCATCTATCTATCATCTATCTATCTATCTACAGTATCTACAGTATCTATCTATCTATCTATCTATCTATCTATCTATCTATCTATCTATCTATCTATCTATCTATCTATCTATCTATCTATCTATCTATCTATCTATCTATCTATCTATCTATCTATCTATCTATCTATCTATCTACAGTATCTATCTATCTATCTATCTATCATCTATCTATCATCTATCTATCTATCATCTATCATCTATCTATCATCTATCTATCATCTATCTATCTATCATCTATCTATCATCTATCTATCTATCTATCTATCTATCTATCTACAGTATCTATCTATCTATCATCTATCTATCATCTATCTATCTATCTATCATCTATCTATCATCTATCTATCTATCTATCTATCTATCTATCTATCTACAGTATCTATCTATCTATCTATCTACAGTATCTATCTATCTATCTATCTACAGTATCTATCTATCTATCTATCTACAGTATCTATCTATCTATCTATCATCTATCTATCTATCTATCATCTATCTATCTATCTATCTACAGTATCTATCTATCTATATCTATCTATCTATCTATCTATCTATCTATCTATCTATCTATCTATCTATCTATCTATCTATCTATCTATCTATCTATCTATCTATCTATCTATCTATCTATCTATCTATCATCTATCATCTATTATCTATCTATCTATCTATCTATCTATCTATCTATCTATCTATCTATCATCTATCTATCTACAGTATCTACAGTATCTATCTATCTATCTATCTATCTATCTATCTATCTATCTATCTATCTACAGTATCTACAGTATCTACAGTGTCTACAGTATCTATCTATCTATCTATCTATCTATCTATCTATCTATCTATCTATCTATCTATCTATCTATCTATCTATCTATCTATCTATCTATCTATCTATCTACAGTATCTACAGTATCTACAGTATCTATCTATCTATCTATCTACAGTATCTACAGTATCTACAGTATCTATCTATCTATCATCTATCTATCTATCTATCTATCTATCTATCTATCTATCTATCTATCTATCTATCTATCTATCTATCTATCTATCTATCTATCTATCTATCTATCTATCTATCTATCTATCTATCTATCTATCTATCTATCTATCTATCTATCTATCTATCTATCTATCTATCTATCTATCTATCTATCTATCTATCTACAGTATCTATCTATCTACAGTATCTATCTATCTACAGTATCTATCTATCATCTATCTATCATCTATCATCTATCTATCATCTATCATCTATCTATCTATCTATCTATCTATCATCTATCTATCATCTATCTATCTATCTATCTATCTATCATCTATCTATCATCTATCTATCATCTATCTATCATCTATCTATTATCTATCTATCATCTATCTATCATCTATCTATCATCTATCTATTATCTATCTATCTATCTATCTATCATCTATCATCTATCTACAGTATCTACAGTATCTACAGTATCTATCTATCTATCTATCTATCTATCTATCTACAGGATCTATCTATCTATCTATCTATCTATCTATCTATCTATCTATCTATCTATCTATCTATCTATCTATCTATCTATATATCTATCTATCTATCTATCTATCTATCATCTATCTATCTACAGTATCTACAGTATCTATCTATCTATCTATCTATCTATCTATCTATCTATCTATCTATCTATCTATCTATCTATCTACAGTATCTACAGTATCTACAGTGTCTACAGTATCTATCTATCTATCTACAGTATCTATCTATCTATCTATCTATCATCTATCTATCATCTATCTATCTATCTATCATCTATCTATCATCTATCTATCATCTATCTATCATCTATCTATTATCTATCTATCATCTATCTATCATCTATCTATCATCTATCTATTATCTATCTATCTATCTATCTATCATCTATCATCTATCTACAGTATCTACAGTATCTACAGTATCTATCTATCTATCTATCTATCTATCTATCTACAGTATCTATCTATCTATCTATCTATCTATCTATCTATCTATCTATCTATCTATCTATCTATCTATCTATCTATCTATCTATCTATCTATCTATCTATCTATCTATCTATCTATCATCTATCATCTATCATCTATCTATCTATCATCTATCTATCTATCATCTATCTATCTATCATCTATCTATTATCTATCTATCATCTATCTATTATCTATCTATTATCTATCTATTATCTATCTATTATCTATCTACAGTATCTATCTATCTATCTACAGTATCTACAGTATCTATCTATCTATCTACAGTATCTACAGTATCTATCTATCTACAGTATCTATCTATCTATCTATCTATCTATCTATCTATCTATCTATCTATCTATCTATCTATCTATCTATCTATCTATCTATCTATCTATCATCTATCTATCATCTATCTATCATCTATCTATCATCTATCTATCATCTACAGTATCTATCTATCTATCTATCTATCTATCTATCTATCATCTATCATCTATCTATCTATCTATCTATCTATCTATCTATCTATCTATCTATCTATCTATCTATCTATCTATCTATCTATCTATCTATCTATCTATCTATCTATCTATCTATCTATCTATCTATCTATCTATCTATCTATCTATCTACAGTATCTATCTATCTACAGTATCTATCTATCTACAGTATCTATCTATCTACAGTATCTATCTATCATCTATCTATCATCTATCTATCATCTATCTATCATCTATCTATCATCTATCTATCATCTATCTATCTATCATCTATCTATCTATCATCTATCTATCTATCTATCTATCATCTATCTATCTATCTATCTATCTATCTATCATCTATCTATCATCTATCTATCATCTATCTATCATCTATCTATTATCTATCTATCTATCTATCTATCTATCATCTATCATCTATCATCTATCTACAGTATCTACAGTATCTACAGTATCTATCTATCTATCTATCTATCTATCTACAGTATCTATCTATCTATCTATC